ATTGGTGGGATCCCAAAACGTCTGACGTGTCTATCGTAAGCAGCATATATAGAGCTATCTGGTATTTCTTTTGGCTAGGTCAACTACGCGTAGACGGCCAGACAACAAAGCTAGCAGTATTCAATAGTCGCAAACAGTGAGCATGTCGTAGGCAATACGAGAGGCTTCACACCTTCATGACTCTCACTTCATGTTTTCCCTGAACAAATTAATCCGAAAAATAGACAAGCCTTAGCGGACCGAATACGTATTAAGTGTCTGGTCATAGTACTAACCGGATCGTATCGTGCCGATCGTACATCGCTCGTACATAATGATACATATAACGCTAAAATAGTAATAATAAAAATAGTAATGAACATTATTTTAGTTTGTTGAAGGGCTAAGCTTACACTGGCAACCAGACATAATTACTAATCTACTCCATCGTGTCCTACATAGCGTAGATTTAACAGAATGATACACGCTCAGAGAATCGTGTTGGCAATACAAAGTTTCGCTGTGGAATCCGGTAGTAGCACTGATAGCGGGGGTAGGGTTATTGATATAAATCACCATTCGACTCTTGGCAGGACACAAATCTACATAGAATTATCAGAGGACATTGTCCACACTCGTGCCATGTCCTCTGTTTCTATGTGTTGTCCTCCTGCAGCCAAAGCTGTTTCTAATTTTTACTGTAAATAATAATTATATAATAATAATAATCTAATTGCACCATCTGAAGCCAGCAATAGCAACAACATCGATGGGTGTAAACAAGGATTGCTAAATCTGCATCGGCTTACTATGCTAATTCACTAAATTGTGACACCACCCTAGCTTATATGTATCAGTAAAAGGTGCCCTTACAGTCAAAATTTATAGCACCGCTTAATATTTAAACGTGTGCTACTCATATCGACGTAATAACGTAGAACAGTGACCGAGAACAACTTGATGTCACGCAAAACCGTGTGTTGTCACTTAAGTGTTAAATATTATTAGTTGCTACTACTGGTTTTCGACTATAGACGGGTATCATTTTATTTCATCGAGAAACTTATTAGTAACTAGACAACGGTGACGGCTTTAAAAGCGTAGCGCAGACGCGATGCTCAGAGTGGCTTTGTTAACCGGGGTCCACCCTATATGTCTGTACCGAAATGTATCTACGAAAACTATATCGTTGATCACTGCAATAAACAACCCCTCTTCCCTTCGGAGCCTAAACGTACCCCTATTAGCTATAAATACACTTGTCTGATAACATTACTGCTTTTACAGCAAACGACAAGTAACAACAACTTTCACAGACTGGTCACGGTGCAGACTCGGTTACGGTGCAGAGCGTAGGGGAGCTGTATGGATGTCGTTGTTGTAGTCCTATGCTACATGCCAGACCAGTGGACATGTGACCAGTAGCGGAAATCGACAATGCCTAGGGGAAGCACAGGAAAATCGATGCAGAAGTTTCTAGCACTCATGAAAGAACCATTGGGAGAATAGAAATTGTCTGCCATACGAAATCCATTTGACGTTCGTTCCTGGATCTCCTTGTAACGTTACAGCTGGAAAAAGCGCGTTTGGTGCCGACATATGGTCATGAATATGTTAAGTGTAATGAGCCACCACCAGCCATGACACCTGATTTATAGACTAATGAGAAAAGAAGATACATTTATTTCATAATGAAAGTCTACAAAGAAAAAGCACAAATCTAGACTGAATCATAAAGCACAATAGATGTATGTACTAACTAATGCAGTCCCAAGCGGCAACCCCTGATACTACGAAATAGCTGCACCGCCCAGGCTAGGAAATCAATTAACACAATTACCTTTACAGGATTGGCAAGGTCCCGTCGAAGATTTGCGTCCATTGTGACGTGAGGGGCAGCTCACACCTTATTGGTCTGTCAGCACTGGACCGTCTAGTAAAATCTTGAGACCAAAAACACAGCAAGAACGTGGGAACAAAGGGCATCAGATATTGCAACCCGACTCACCATTCGATCTATCCAACTACCTCCCACTCTCCTTTCACAAGTGGTTATTCGATGTAGCATACTTGTGGATCGAAAGGCATATGCCAGCTTAAAGTTCCTTGAGTATCGTACTGCGCTGAAATTCTAAGCAGCTGCCCGCTTCGGGGGGACATTCGGGTAAATTGGTTAGGGCTGTGATTGTTCAATCGTTCCTTTAATTTGTGTGATCTTTCATAGACTTGTACCCGGAACGCAAGCACATAGATCACCTATAGGTCTCTGACCACTACGGGAGTGACAACACCAGTGGGCAAAGATCAACGACAACGAACAGATTCAGATGTCGCATCCAAAACGGAATAGCTGCAATACATGCCGGGCGCCGAGAGTTCAATAGGGAATCATTGGCTTGCTATGGTATTGAATTTTCCAGCATGTTTTAATAGAATTTATTAGCTTTAAGGCCTTCAGCTATTTCTCTACGCTAGAAATACACTATGACAACACATTGTCTGCCGAGTTTTTTCTCGCTGCGGTCTTCTACATTGCACGATTGCTTCTGTTGACGGTGATGACCTGCTACCCCGAAAGATTAATGAAAACCTTTTTAAAGCATATTGATAAGAACTAGTTAGCGAAATCATATGTATTAGCATATACTTAGCCAATTTTAAAAACAGATACTAAATTTTTCAAAGTCATGGCTTACCAACGGAGTCTATCAACAACTGGTAAATTACTTTGTCGTCATGTAGCACCTAACTGATGTATAATAGTTAATTTCATTATCTTAGCATATCTGTCGGTCAAAACTAACAAAACCCTGTCTGAACATTAACACTGCCGACGCAATACGGAAAACGTACGAGCCCTGACATCGGGGCTTTTTTGCGATAAGACACCCTGAAAGCTAATGTGTTGTAACAACAAGAATCCCAATTTACAAGATGAATCCTTACCAACTGCTTGCTTAGGTAAACAATGTGCACGCTGTACACCTTCAAATAATTTCTGTACAACCTGTGGTATATAAAAATGCTTAAATAAAGTCCCAATAACGATGTAGGCAATACTTTTAACATAGGAAAACCTCGAAGACAGCCATGTTAAATGGCATAATGCAATAAAAGAGCTAGAGGGCGTTGGCTATCGACGTGAAGCTAACGGCTGCAGGAACACAGCGGGGCAAGCCATCTAGGTTTTTCCAGACTCTCCGCCAACCGTCGCCAAACAAAATTCCGTCGTCAGCTTCATAACGACATATCAGCAGAACGCCATATAGCCCTAAGGTTCAAAATTCCCTAGATTCAGCTTCGTAACGATCTGCTTGCCGAATATATGTATACGCAAGTAGTCATCACCTTCTCTCTGTCTTGATGCTGATAACTATAAATAGGCTACAATGATACGAACCAAGAATTTTCCATGGCCGCATTCGACGTCGCTGGGAAAGACGGTACTATGGTTTATCATAACTCGATTATAAACCAAACTAGAATATTAAAATGCTTATTTGTTGCTGTGTGTGTCTATATGCCTGTGGACCAGAAATCTATTCCCGTTTTCCCAAGCCCACTCTTTCTCGTTCTTGCATCATCCGCCCTCATTTATACACAGTCTTCTCCGTTCTCCAAAGCATGATCTGCTTTTAACATGAGCAGTCGGTGCGCCGCGAACTCCTGTTATTGTCGTTTGCGTTTGTTCGCAGTTGCTGTGGATTGGAATAAATCGTTTTCGAAGTGTGTAAAGAACTTCGGAATAACTTAGGAGTATTAAAGGCGGTCGGCACAGACTGGGGCATTTACAGTGACCTTTTCACCTTGGCTGTGAAATAAGCTTCCTACGTTCGCTGCCCAACCGTACCTCTGCAGTCATAGTCAATCGCGTCTCCAAAGCGCGCCCGCACCTTTGTAGGATATTCAGCTCCCGTGCCAAGCTTTTCTCGTCTCTTACAGCTTACCTTTCGCTCTCTTTTTTCTTGGGAGGGAAGTCGCGTCCGTGTTTTTATACACGTACAAAGCATAAGTACACATAGGTACCGTTCCGCCGATTTAAAGGTAAACATGTCGCGTATATGTGATCAACTCGCATTGAACATAGAAGTAATATTTTTACTTTTAACCCGAAAAACTTTTCGCCTAGCTCCTTCGTTCGGCCTGGCAGTCCTCAGAAAAGATCCGAAATCGAAGGGACGATGACCTTTTTTCTGGTCGTTTCTCTTCACCGCGCTCATTATAACGAATTCCGAAGCGTAATACTTCTTGCGCTTTTCGTGGCCCTTCAATCGAACAATTTTAAACCAAGTTTGTTTTTGACTTGCTTTTGTGATTTTCCTCTGACTGGGCCTTTACTACGCACTCCAACGAATCTTATCTCCAAGAAGCGGATTACGAAATGATAGGGAAATTCTACTTCTTCATGTATAGGATTTGTCAGTCATCTTTAGGTTTCTACTGTCTCCCGGTGCATAACATCATAAGGCGGTCGAACCGCAAGAAAAAGCTAAAAAAAAAATGTAGGCGATTTAAGGACTTTTCGTATCATTCGCTAGCCATAGGGAAACGTTCCGCTTTCTAAAAACGACTGAGGTACGTCTTCACTGAACGATAATTTGCTTTACTAAGCACCATCCCTCTGATATACGATAAAGTGTCTTCGTAGCTCCGTAACTTCAGAGGCCATTATTACCAGGTGCAATAGTCTTGCGCTGGAGGAGGTCAGCCGTCTGTTACAATGCCTACCTTGTTTTTTTCGGACGAAGATTCAAGTTAGTAGTAAATATTGTACTACTACCACCAGTTTACTTAATCTCGTCTGTCGTGTAGTAGTGGTATCAAGACAAATTCGTATTATAATGCCAGTCGTTTATGCAAAATGCCAAGTACTAATACTACAAATGTCCTATGAGATACTTATATTGTATCTTCGTATTCAAGTTAAATCGTGTTGATGGGCTTCTAGCTGTAAATATTCGTATCATGATAGAATTCTTATGTGTGACTCCTGATTGCTTTTAATCTTTTTCTTATTGCAGAAGGCGAACCTTGGGACGATCGCGGGCGTATATTTCCCCTGCATCCAGAACATCTTCGGTGTGATTTTCTTCATTCGGCTTGTGTGGATTGTGGGAACTGCCGGAGTACCTGTTGCCTTCGTCGTTGTCTTCCTTTGTTGTTCAGTCGTACGTAGACTCTCGAATAAATTTATTTTGTTTGAATTGTAGTAATTGTTCGACACCGTTACGATCATACGATTTGTTTTCTAGCAGAAATGCCTCAACAGCGACTTTCAGTCAGGCAGGCGCTCGTTATGTATAAAAGACTAGATTGAAAATTTCCATTATAATTACTCTAATTATCATTGCCGGTCACTGTTTCATTATTCCCTATAGACATTGTAAGACCCGCGTCGATTACTACTGATAATACCACCTATTGCCTATTGCAATGACAATACCACATTACGCACGTGATCGCGATAACGTACAATAATTGGCAGCCGAAAATTTTCGGTAGTGCGGTTACGAACACCTCATAGTGCTATCGACCAGATGCGGAAAGGTTAGGTAGCAGAAAAATGCTTGAAAGCATGACAGATTTCGTGTTGTTTGAGTGCTGTCGCCCCCTAGCCGTAATAACGCGTTGTCGTTAAATAGAAACGCTTTAAGCGTAAACCTTTTAAATGGCTAATAACATGTTCCCCGATTTTCGTGAGATGTCGCCTTCGGCAAGGACCTCTCAACAGTGTCATCTTCAGCCATTCATCTAAGTTCCCTATACAATCTTATAGTAGACTATAGTTTATAGACTGCTTATTTCGTCACATTTACACTGCACGGTTCTACAATAGTTCTGTGCTCTCCTTCAATTTTCTTGGCTAACTCTTTCAGCTAATCGAGAAACAACAACAACAACTTAAGGATAAGTTTCAACTCGGTGAAGTAATCCACTAGGTTTTAAGCTACTCTGCTCTAATGTCAAGAATCTGTTATTAGGTCTCTTCGAGAGGGCAATGCAGTTACATATCTGTTAGTGCAGAATGTAGCCAGTGTTTGTGGAGCCACAAAAGTTGCATTCAAAGCTTTTTTCAGGGTAAAATTAAACATTCGCAGCCGGTCGTAGTTATTAAAACGATTGTAACTCAAGGCAAATGGCCGGGTGCTGATCCTGGACTTACAGATAGTAAAAGACAAAGCGGAACTAACATGACTAGGGCTTAGTTCAAATTTAACCTATTTTCGCGGCTCTTGTATGAGAAGTCTAGAATCTGTCCTTATTGGAAGCAGTGATGGTCCAATCAACCAACAAGACATTTTAGGTAACATCTGAAAACTCCGAATAGATCTGGGGGAATGTCATAGTCGAGACCAGATGGCTCACACGCACTGGGAAATTTAAGAAAGGCGTTACAACTATACTGTGTTCTATTGCATGATTAGGAAGGACATTTGTAGTGACTAATAGTATAGATACAATTGACAAGCCGAAACGGAAAGCATAAAAACAAGTGAAAATGATCATAGTATGGGAGCCTTAGTTCGACAATTTACAAACGGACAATCGCGTACTACAGGCTTTTAAGCCTTAGCAGTAAACAAAATATTGATTGTCCTTAATGAAACTTACTTCATAAAGGGCGAAAGCAAAGCAAGTGGCTGCCCGAGACGTACGCAGGATGACGGATATTACGGAAGCGGTGAAGCTGAAGAGACAGCGAGGGGTAACAAAGGTTATTCTTGACATTGCATAAAAGGCAAGCATTACAGCTTGGAAATCTTCGCAATTCGACAACTATAATGAAATCTTTCTACTAAATATATATATATATATATATATATATATATGTATATATATTTGTTCGTTTGAGAAACGCAAAGAATTTAACGGCAGCTAGAACAACATAGCTAGTATGACCGTAAAGCCTAACTAGTAACCGCTTATCATTGCACCTTGCGGAAATTTCGAATTTTTATAAACGATTTAACTTAAAAGTAACGTTTAGAGTGTCACGCGACAAATCAAAACAAAATATCGCCGGTGAGAACAGTCTGATGAACTCGGATAACTGAAATATGGCTCAGGCGGTTTGCGAAGAAGGCCAATGGCAAGGAGTACTCGTACGTGTCGTTACATAATCAGTAAAAAGAAATAGGCGGTTGCAGTTAAGGCGGAAGTGAAACATAAAAAGTAGACACATGTGAAAATATTCAACAATGTTTTCACAATACCGCTCCATAGGTAGGCTACTACTGACCGTTTGAGCTAGTTATTCCAGATCTGCTTCATTTCGAGCGATTTATATAACAATTTAAAACTGCAGCCGCCTAAAGCGATCTCAGAACTAAGGGATACAGCTTCTAAGTTACCTAAATGCAAGAGCAGTACTTTGATATAGGAGGACGCAATACGGTTTGACATCTGTATTAAGTTGGGTGTTCATGATTCGTCGATTGTTTCTCCTCATTCCACGCAACTATTATTGAAAAACACCCTAATTTTTTTTCTTCGAATTTGATAATCTAGCCTTCAGGAATAATACGGTCTCAGAAAATAGAAAATTGTGTTTCATATACGTTATAATAACTAGAAATTTCGATCACCGTTAATACACATTCAAATATAAACTACATTCTATGAAATGAACACGCACACCTTCGAACCATAGCAACAAATGGGTAATTGGGCATCTTAGCGTTCATCTCGTCATGGTCTCATGAAATATACGCACAATGGATACCGCCGTTCATTTTCTGTATAAGCATAGCTTTAACTTGCTCTAAAATGTTTCTACCTTTCTCTTTTCTTTCGCATATGGGTTAAAACTTCCACGATTGGCTTCATAAAACTGTTAAACTGTTTCAGTTCAAGGACCCAGACAGAGTCTGTCGTTAAAGAGTTATGCGTTCTTATTGATTGTGATACTCAGGATCTTCATCCTGAACACATATTGCAACAACGATAAAGCTCACTGTAGACTGGCGAATGTACCTATAGCCGACCGGAGTGGAAAATACACTTATTGCAGTTATATAGTATACATGTTTCATTAAGAAAATAACTATATATAACTATAACTAGTAGTAACAGAAGTGTTTAAAGCAATGAAGCAGCACCAACCAGCTTAGTGCGGTGGCTCCCGAGGTTCTTCTGAACCCGGGACAATCTAATACGATACATTGGCTTAATTTGATGATTAGAAAAGACCTTGATATTCTTATTCTTAATAATAATGAAGCAAGGTGTGGGGTCGTTCAAACCGACGTGCGGGCTTTATCCAGCGCCGTCATTTGTCTGTTCTGATTAGTTGACATCAAACTCAGCTTAGTGCTCGGAAACAGTGCTCGATTATGCAGGAGTAGTTACCATGCTCGACCGATTCCGTTTTCCCACTGCTATATTCAGGCAGATAGATGCAAAACATTTCATATAAGACCTCAAGTAAACGGATGAACAAGCTTGCCTGATAATTTAGAACTCAATCATACAACCTTTAATCTTAGTTTTTCTGCTTTCCTAGCGAGCTGCTGTACTAAAGTGTTGCTATATGTTCGAGCTTCCGAAACGCGTCGTGGCTAATCCGACGAACCCTATGGGAGTCCAACTAAAATTTACCTCTAGTATTCCTCATTCTCTGACTTAGTAGAACAAAGCAACATGACGCAGCTAGCTCCGCAGGAATGTCTTGTTACAGCCAAATCAGTCAGTGCTGCCAAACTGAGAAAAGGGCATTCTAGTCGAAAGCGTGTCGGAAAGAAGTCGATCCCGCAAGAGTTGTGTTAGGATTTTGACGCCGGCGTCATTGTCTCTATAGGTAACCTTATGTATTTTCAGCCACCCTCAAATTACAGTCGATACAAATGTTTACAGGTGTGTCGTGGGATGCCAAGCGTGACCTGAGGTAACCCATTGTAAATACAAATTAGCTTGTCCTTCACGCAAGAGAATATTATGCTAGAAAAACAACGGGACGGATCATTCGTTACGTGTTTTTTGAGACTTTTAACAACGATAACTTGAGTCTTCAACTAATTCGGCTCGTATTGAAATAGATATGAAAAATTCTATGAAACAGCGATGGCAGACGCTGCCAGTTGAAATTAGGAGAAATACGGGTCCAGATATAGTTGCCATTAACGTATCTGTAACAAAAAGCCAATTCACAAAGAGGATGAGATCGTTCCTTATCAGCCGAGTAAGTGCTGATAGTTTGCTTTTGCTATATAGCCTTATTCTGTTAAGATGTTCATGTGTGAATGTGTATGTCTAGATAATGTTGGACATGACCTGATTCAGAGAGTTCTGTTGGCCTTCTGAGCGTACGGTCTGGAAGCAGTACTCAAAGTTAAGTAATTTGTGCCTGTCGTTGTTGTGTCTGTGGGTCGGATGCACCAACTCGGCAAAGTGTGACTTGATGGCAGCATCTGTCAGTTATTTAGATGATAGATGACACGTGTGTCCTTGCGTTTATCTATTGGAAGCAGTAATCGCGGTATTGGCAAGCATTCGATATCAGTTTGGCTCGGAACAATTTCCATATATGGATACCCTTTCAATCAGAGATATAAAGTACTTATCAGTTTCCGCACCTTCGTAAAGTTGTTTTTTGCTTTCTGGGATACTTCCACCATTGCTGTAGTATAATTGGGGAGACTACATGCTTACGCAAGTACAAGCTACATGTTGTCATGCTCGGTATATATAGCACTGAATCTTCCGTTGATGCTATTGCATTATTCGGCATATCGAGCTGTTTAGCACCAAATACTTTGTCAACGTACTTATGTATTTTAGATTATCATAGTCCTATGCGAAAGTAACCTCACGTTCTATTATATCGGATATTCCTGCTGCGCATAATAGCACTTCCCCTGATCTTGTTTAACATCAAAGTAGATGGACGCGACTCGGTGGTGGCAAAAAAAGTCGCCAGAGGTGGCAAATATGGATAGCCAAGCGTATTTTCGGAGTGAATCCTGTCGATTTAAGTATAGAGTCGCGCGGCGGTGGCGTGACGCTAGGGAACGAAGGCACGGTTTCAGCTTGATGGTAGTAGAGCATCACTGGGACAGATACATTTTACTTCTTTTCCGCGAATTATGGATGTCAATTTTAAGGTAATATTGATTCACGTTATTTTCATTGACCGATTCCAACGTTCAGCTCCAACTATGCGTGCAAGCGA